GAGTAGGGTTTTTTTAAGTTCTCATTTTGCCAAGGTTTTACTTGGATTTATATAATCATGGCACTGTTATACCGTGGAATTTCAGACTTTTAACTTGCCAGGACCCATAACCCACAGAGCATGGAGCATCCATTGCAGTGGTTAAAGGTGCTGCTGTAAATGACTGACTGCACCACCTTTCCACCAGACAGTAGGTTCTTAATGATGCTTTTTATAGCAGTAAGCTTAATTCTCTGCTGTATATCTTATTGGGAGCATACAGTTCGTATAGTTTCGTATTTTTTGGGTCTCTATTGATGCTGCACCAAAATTGGGGTAGCTGAGATTGGTGAACATCATTTTAAGACATCTAGACGGCAATGTAACCTGTTTTTATACCTTAAACGGCAAGATTCCGCTCAGTGTTCTATGTTGTGCATCTTACATACTTACAGTTTTTATGAATTATAATCATGATGACTCAAATTCTTGATCTAAAATTATTATTATCTGAGATATTTCTGGCTAAATGAGGGTTATGACTTGGAGCAGTGTTGAAATCAAGTCAGCTCATTGGCTTGATGAGATACAATAATATACATATTATTTCTTGTTTGTGTTAGGAAATAGGAAATATTTAATTAAATGTTCTGCATATAACTTTGGTGTTGACGTTAACTGTTAGTTAACTTGGATGTGTTTTTTTTTTTGGCATCTTACTCTTCTTCTGAAATGCTGCTTAGGGCTGACCAGCCATCATCACTGAATCATACACTAATGTTTTTATTGAATGTCCAGAGCCGTTTTTGCAAAGGCTGCCACTTTGGGTCATTCACATAAGTCTGACTCAGAGACAGACAGAAACCGAATCATCTGACCCATCTGACCCTCTGTGCTGTGTATTTCGGGCGAGCTACGTCTCATTACTCCTTTCTGTCAAAGTCACAAAGGGAAACAGGACAATTAGCCTGGCCTCATAGTGCCACATTCATTTCACCAGCTAGGATCTGATCTCACACCTCTCACTTCACATTCTCATTACTTCAGGCTGTTATTAATTTATTTAATCAATATCTGTTTAAGTTGTCCATAACGGACATCTATAATGGCAGTAAATTCACCCAGCTGCTTCATCAAGTTATGAGCATGACTTTTAGTGGCTCTCCATGCTTGGGCTGTGTCTCTGATGGGTCAAATTCAGTGGGTGTGTTATTTAGCTGGGCGCTCAGAGTTTAAAATGGCACTTACATTTCTCAACATAGGACATTTTTCCTTGTGTTTTTAGCTTGTGAGTTTGTTTATATGTCTCTGCAGTTATTTGTTGTCTTCTATCTATCCTGGCTAAAATAAAAAAGATTGGCAGAATTTATATTGTTGGTCAGTGATTAACATGGATTAGATACACTGTACACCCTGCTGCCCATCACAACTATAAGCCATCTATTTGTGCTTCTTAAATGTTTCAAAGACTGGGCTCTCTGGCAGCACTGTTGGTGCTGGATGGAGCAGAGCTACTTTAATATTTACTCTGATATTGTGTATTAATCTTGCATTGAGTCAGCCTAGAATCTTTGAATTTGTTTGAGTAATGCATGTTTTTATTGTCTTATTGTTTTTGTTTTTTTGAAGTAAGACCTTTCCAGTTCACTGCTGCAAAATTATTGGATAACGCATGCTATCATTTTTTATTAGACCTTACTGATTTTAAAATTATGCCCTGTCTGATTTTATGGTGTCCTACTTTAAGCCAGCTTTAAGATTAGAAATGTACCGAGTCTCGTTTACTGCAGCTCCATTTCTGTGGGTGAAAGCAAACACTGCAACCGAGTTGTTCAAAGACTCACAGGTGGCTCATTCACTGGGTGCCAACACAACTGGCTCCTCGGTGACAGACTGGCACAGGCTGAGGCACCACACTGAATCGCTTTAGGTGAAGCCTCACCGGCTGTCTCCCTGTTGAAATCCCAAATGTTTTGATTTATTTTGTCTCCATTCTGCATTTGTTTGGATGTCTTTTCAATAATGGAAGGATTTCTCATTTTGGGATTAGCCCCAAGTGGAGCTGTTTTCATTGTTCATGGAGCCAGACAGGAAGTTTGTCAGAAAAAAATCCAAAAACATATTTAGAAGCAGTTGTGCATTCAGTGCACACACTTGTACACATACTCTATGCACATTATTGCATCTGCTTCCTGTTATCTGCTATTTAAATGACTCGTTCTGAGTCGACACCCTTTTCCATTCATTATGTGATTAAAGCTGCCTGACAAATAAATGCTGATGCACAAAGCCTTCATGCCGGAACACCTGAGCTGCAGGGAGGGGGGGGGGGGGGGGGGGGGGGGG